CGTCAATTTTCACTGACTAGGAATTGGATGTGTCTAAACTAGACTTGTTAAAACAGTCACATAACAATTTCGGTGGAGGGGGGGGGACAGCTTGGCCTGTGTTGTAGTGATCTAATTTCACACAGCATTTCGGTCAGTTTCCAATCGCATCGGGAAACGTAGTCGGACGTGTTCATGATGAGAAATGGTTAGAATACAACTCGATAATTCCCCGTATGGTCAGCAGATAGTCGTTTCAAACACGTTGGTGATCAAAGTCCGTAAAAGATTAGCGGCAATGAATTGCTTGCGATGACCAATGAGGCGCATTAGAAAGCTGTCTCGTTATTGCTAGCACTCGTCAGTATTGGGAACGTTTTGTATCCCCAAAATTATATATCAGAGAATTATCATACGAAGGAAAAAGATTTAAAATCTAACTTCGCGACTAGGAGAAATCAATTGAATGATAATTGCATTGATTCAATTTGATCAAACGATGATAGGACCCTTTGGGGACTAAATGAACACAGTATAACAGAATACTTGGATTTGATGCATAGCTTCGGTCCAGATCGTGCGAGTGGCATCGAACGGTAGTCTTGGTTTCGGTTTTTAATTAAATACTTGTCCGGAACAAGGAGACTACGAACAACTTAAATTGCGTGTTTGTTTCTATGATAATAGTAATGCTGTGGGCTACCGAACTGTAAAGTTGTCCAAACCTCTCAGGTGGTGGAGTGGTAACTTGAGTGTTTACTCAGTTAGAAGCTGATACCCAGTTGGTCAGGGCTCTCACATCCAGGGTATCCAGTATTCTTCGAGGCTTTCCGACCCCTGTATAAGGTTCGTGGACGACTATCAAGCCAAGTTCGCTATCGGATGTTAGCCAGAGCAGAAGCGGCGGGAATTTTTCTCCTCTCTGTCAGCCCGAAAACAATGTGTGCAGGCAATTAAGCTCACTTGACTCACCCCGTAAATTCCGAATCATCTCAATAATCGGACGAGTGAACAAATAACATTGTGAATCCAACTTCTGATCTCATGATTAAATCAGTCGTAGTAATCTGTGATGAATACCTTTTTCCTTTCTTGCCCAAGACAATTGTATTCCGAATCAGTGATACATATTGTAATGCATTGATATTACGAATCACTGAAAATCAACTTGTTCGCCACTCCGCGTTTTGTTGGAAATATACTCCCGTCAGTTAATCAACGTTCGATCATGAGTGGTTTTGAAACAGGGTTTACCAACTCCTCTAAACGAATTAACTTTCGGTGAACGTTCAACTACCCGGTTGCGAAACCAATGGTTGACTCCACACTCCTTCACGTTATTGAAAACAACCTCGTCATAAGAAGAAGCGAGCGAGGTTACCTCAGCGAAGACTGATTCGGTGATTAGGAAATGAATTGAAAGAAGCTTGGAACGATGAAATTTGTATACGGAAACACCCACGCCTGACTGTACAAAGGGCATTTGTGTGTCCGTGCAATCAACTCCCCTCCCCCCAACTCGCTCGTGAACATGGACTCATCTACCCCGTTGATTATAAAGTGAATCGTTTCGTGCAAAGATGATTGCGTAAAACAGTGTCATATTACGATTTTGTAAGTATCGCTCGCGTAGGACGTATTTGATCACTCCCCGACTGACCTTTTCAGTTAAGACAGCGCGTGTCAAACACCCGACCGATTTTTTTGGTGATTCATTCTTAAAAAAAGCATCACATTTGCAACCGATTCAGTTCGCCCAGATCAACAACACCCCTTCCGTATTCCGTTTCTCTTTTTCCGGCAAAGTGAGAGATTATTTGGTAACATTTTCCAGATAAGGGAGGGACTAATTATTGCAGATTGGTAGAAGTTGTAATCCGCTACTAGCTAAAACCCAAAGGTCGGGGTAACGCAATTGATTTACTGTTTTACCCACATTTGATTGGAACGCTGTAATCATGGAGACCTTGTAAAGCTGTATTGCTTTTCAAGTATCGAAAAGCCGTCAATAACAATATCCTACTAGTGTATCGTGTTCTGCTCCCCTCATGAAATCCCGTTCTTCTTAAGACATCACACATCTTAGATGAATCGACGCTAGGCTAAATTCGTCTGAAATATGCCATGATACAGGGGGCTTGTTCAACGGGACTTAATGAGGTGCAAAGTATTTCGGCTTCGCCAATGTGTAATTTCGTGCTGCCAATGACCAGTTAGGTTTTTGGTAATACGTGGATTGAGAAGCTACAAAATTTTGCAAGTGTTATAAACGCCTTAAGAAACTATTTAAGAAAAACACTGTAGCGAACAAAGCTTGTTTTCGATAACCTACTCGCCGGGCTAATATTGGGTTCAAAATCATCAAACCAGTGTAATTATCTGATGTGATGAGCACGACTATTCTGAACCCTATATATATGTAACTGTATTAGCCCGACGAGGAAATTGTCGAAAACAAGCTGTGTTCGTTATCGCGTTTTCCTAATTTCACGGTGGGAATATTCACCGAAAACGCTAAAATCGACGTGAACAGTTTTTTAACCCGAAATTGTCTGTTGTATGAACGCGTAAAGTTCAACAGGGATCGGTGAGTAATAAATACACTAGAGATATATTCTTATCAACGGGTAGCAGGGACTCGAATAGTGAACCGTTCCTAGAATTGTGAAGGTTTTTTGCTATGCAAACTTTACGATGAAGAGTGAACTTGAAACAGCAAAAGTTCGTCAATCAGTTTACTGACATACAAGGACCTATCGAAGTACTTGCTGAAGCACTCACACAATCGCTCACCTAATATCGCAGATTTTTATGGGTACGGATAAGATGTACTATGAAATTCAGATACAAACCAAGAAGAGAAGGATTTAGACGTGCGCGTTTCAGCGATCATCGAACCATAGGTACTTGCCTAGCCAAGCAGATAGTAAATCTGCATTGATTTTACCATTAATTTTGTGTTTACCGTGAATCTCTGTGAGTTGAAAATCAGAGAAAAGTGGACCCATCAATCGAAACAGTAAGCCGGTTACATAAAACGACATTGCTGTGCACCACNCCACACTCCATCTTCACAAAACCGCATTACTCGAAATAGCTTCATGATCAATTACACAACCACTCCTTGTTTGAATTAATTCAATGTAACGGACAATGATTGCCCGTTATGTGCCACAAATTCCGATTCTGCCAATAAAGATATGCGCGCGCGATCTGAAGCGAACCCCGAGGAAACAATCAACTGGATTCGGTACAAATGCGGTTCTATGCTAATACACAAGGAAATCAAACAGCGATGTAAACAGAACATACCACAACAGTAAAGCCATGTGACTAGTATTTGTTACCTTCAAAGTTTTAAAATGGTCGTGTTTTGGCTAAGCGGATATATGTATACCATTTGGAGCCAGGTACCTGAGTGCACTGGTGTGGGGTAATTTATTGTTAATTTCGACCGAATACCCTTCAGACTTCATTTTTACACATGTCATCCCCATTTGATCCTAAAAAATTGTTTAATAACGGAGACAACATCTAGGATTCTGATCAGTCCCTGTGGGAACCAATGCAGAGTGGTAAAACGCCTTACTTACGGAGTTAAAAACCTAGATAGGATGGAAGAGCACATCAATGATGAGCACTACTGACAGTCTCTTGCGTGTGCGGCTGTTTACTAGATGAATGAAGAGTTTTATGTGAAGATCAAGTCTTTTATGTGGTTTTGCTTTGCCGATTTCAGTTAAAACCCATAAAATGCCCAAATATCTCAAACGGATCGACAACAGATTGAAGATACACGCATGATAAACGCGAAATTCCGTAACACATGGCCCTAATGGTAACCAATACCAGACAGAATCAAATATATGAATGTCAACGAAAACGAATTCCTCCCTCGGCAGAAATGTCGACGAATTGTGGAGAAAAACAGCACACTTGAGGAAATGTGTGGTGGTTGTGGCCCTGTGGTCGTGGTGGTGGTAGCGAGTCGGTATACCATAAATGATGAATAGCTCTGCTTGAAGATCGGACAGTAAACAGTAAACGCACAAAAGGAGAAGCAGGATTCCGACGGCAGTCTACCGGGCGGTTCCAAGTTCCTCTTTCATGTATCACACCTCACCACTCTCTAGCTTCTAATCTAGTTGAAAGCAATCCCAGAACGGTAGAGGTAGTGAAGAACTGAATCCCCGCAAACAAGCAAATCAGCTCGCACTATCTACAGTGACCGGAGTAAGTTGTAGTGTGGACAATTTTATTATTCATCTCAACATGACCAAATAGACCGAGACCGGAGAAGACAACTGTTTCTTTTGTGTTTAGACCTTTTGTAGAGCTGCGAACGCCGGTAGTTGAAAAGGACAGCGAGTAACGGTCTTGGTGAGTCATCTCATCGGAGTCATTTATTTTAACGACACTCATATACAATCAGCGAAAGCTAAACGACAGATAAACTTTGGGTAGAAACTGAACAGACATTTAATGGTACCGATAGCTGAAGTAAATATTCCGTGGCCACTATCGATATCATGACCAGGCACCATCAAGACCACGAAGTCTGAATGACAATATCCTATTAGCAAAAAAACAATTCAACCCTCCTTGCGAGGTACTAACTGTAGTCCAGTTACAATTTACGTTCCGCTGGTCCCGAACTGCGGGCAAGCATCACAGTGCTAATACACATATTCGACTGCTGGTGAATTCAATCTACTCCGGAACCAAGCAAACAGCCGAAAATTCATCATATTTGCAGGGTCAACATGGAATCTACCCGATTAGTATCGTCTCCCTACCGCAGTTCCCTTTGGACCACCACAAACATGAACAAAAGGGATTGTATGGTTGCATAAACGAGGACAAAGAGCGTATAAACACCGAGATACAGACCAATGGGGTTAATAGATTTCGGATTAGGGATACAAAATACGACCATGAGATATAGAAGCGCTATGTAGATGAACGATAAGGCATTTGTCTGGTTCATCTGGTTCAATGACGGGCCCAGATGCGTAGAGGTTTTATTTATTCAAGAGCTCTTCGACCGCAAACACATACACATGGAATTTAGTGAGCCAAGATGCCTCATCCGCTTTCTCTTTCTCATCCTTACTGCCGCACCTGACACCTGGCAGCGCATCGGACAGCTGTTGCATAAAAATGAGAGAGCAATTGGCTGACGCTAGCAAGCCATTGATTAGAACGAAAGAAAATAGACAAGACAGTGGACCAACAACTGAATGCGGTGGTCGCGTGCTGAGTCACACCATAATCACACGGGTATTCACCCGAACGCATGTAGACAGCCCCACAAAGGACAGACGATCTGGGACGA